CATGAACCCTCATTAAAAATTGCTATGAAAAATGCTCCAAAAAGTGCACAAAAGGGGAGACTATTTCATAAGATAAACTTTGATGTATACATTACTGAGATATAACTTTTTAGCAGGGCCTGTTGTGATAGGACAAGGAATAATGGTTTTAAACTAAAAGAGGGTAGATTCAGACTAGATACAAGTACTTTTTTACGATGAGTGGTGAAACACTGGCACAGGTTGCCCAGAGAGGTGGTCGATGCCCCATCACTGGAAACATTCAAGGTCAGGTTGGACGGGGCTTTGAGCAATCTGGTCTAGTTGAAGATGTCCCTGCTCATTGCAGGGGGGGTTGGACTAGATGACCTTTAAGAGTCCCTTCCAACCCAAACTATTCTGTGATTCTATGATATTGGTGAAAACAGAAAACTTCAAGCTAACGTTGTCTAATTAAGTAGCTATGTTTATTAATTTTTCTTTTAATGGGATAAGTTAAAGCTGAAAGGCGATGGTTCTAACAAGGAAGTAAGGAAAATAAAACACAAGCAGGGTTTGCAGGAAACTTTGGCCCCTAGACTCTTGAAATCCTTCCTGACAAAACTTCTCGAGCAAAAGAGTACAAGACCAAACACGCAAGCCAGAGCCTCCACCGAGCTGGGTCTGCGCTCTTTGCTTATGGGAGCTCTGATGTAACAAATCATCTTCCAAGCAGTCGTGCTGATTGTGAACGTAACCCTGGCCGCTTTTCAGACACAGTAAAACTGTTGTGTGCTTAGATCAAGTCTGTTTATTTTTCGAGGTAAAGCCTTGTCTCTGCTGCAGCGAGCAGAGCTGGGCACAATTCCATCGCAGGTGTTTTACTGAGGACTTGATCTCAGTTTTATTCTGGTGTAAGAGAGAGCAAAAACTGGCGCTCGGCGCTGGCTTCAGTGAAGGCACATTTTTAAAGGGAATCAGCTGAGCTGTAGTAATAAAGGAAGCCTTGGCCTTCTTTCAGGCCATGCTATCTCCTTTTTCTCACATTGTCTTGAGGCTTTAAATTTTCAGTTGAAGTTAATTGAATGAGACAGTGATACATTGCACAGTGAAACCAGATCAATCACTGCGCGAGTCAAAATAGGAGTTGCGATGACACTCAGAACAAGAGCTTGGGAAATGTGATATTTACATTAAAATATTTTACATTTTTGTCTCATGGTTTTAAAACCAAATTTAAAAACGCCTTACTGCATTGCATAACGAATTTCTCTCTGCTTATCTGTATGTATTTTTTGTGTGTGTGCATTTGGACAATAAAGCTGAATAATCATAGAATCAGATTTAGTAATAAAGGGTTATTTTCTACAGTTACACAGCCTCATTTACAGAAAAGGTAAAACAGAAAAACTCTCATTGCATAAACTCATTCTTTTCTCCGAGAGGCAGTCATATGACAGTGAGGTGCATATAAAGCCATAGGAGAGTTTACTCTCATATTAAGTGGCAACAGGGAATTTGACTGCTGTCTTTTCCATCTTCCTTCCCTTTAAATATTTACTTGGATGTTGTTTCCAACTCTTAGCTTGCAGGTAAAACTTGTCATTACTATTCACTTATGTTAACTGTATTTGCATGGAAAGTAAGGGCTTGTTCCTCCCAAATTGGAAAACTAAGAGCAAAGACTTAATTTTATGTTCATGATCCGAGTACTGTAAAAACAGCAGAAAGCCTGTCAGTGTTTTCAGGTTTGCAGACTCTCAGCTCCGTATCTAAATCCTCAGGGTTTTCACGAAGTCAAAGGGCTTTGTTTTCCTGTCACTATGTAAAGCACAACGCCACAGAAAAAGTTATCCTGCAGGAATACAAAACATGAAGTGGTATCATTTCATCAGGTGCCTTTCCATCAGGAATAGGGATACTGAGCAGTTTAAATTCAGCAGCAGCAGCTGGTTTTCGAGAACACCCCGCAAAAAAAATCCGGCTTTTCTCCAGTGGAACCTCACCTCCTCTTTCTTTGCTTTCTGATCTGGTTGTACCTCCAGAAAGTGAAGCCCTGACACTGAAAAATCAATACACTTTAATGATCAGCATGCCAGAGGGTTTTTTGGGTTGTAGGGGGTTTTTTGTGTTGCGGGGTTTTTGTGGATTTTTTTCCTTTTGGAAGCCTGACAGATGGATCTCTGGTTTCACTGAAAGACTTAAATAATATAAACAAGCAGTCATTCTGTTCCAAGAGAAGCTTTTTTTAATATTCTTATTTTATTGTAATTACCTTATTGTTTTCATATTATGAGCTACTTGTAGAAAAATACAGGAAACATGACTGCAATACAATCCTTTAATCAGGAATAGCTTTGTTCCAGTCATCATTTCCATTCAGTGTTGAAACTTTGACTAATAAGAATACAATCAAACCTTGAATTTAGATGTAATATGGTGTTAACATTATGGTTTCATCTGATCTCTGTACCTAGTAACTTCTGTAGGAGAACATTTTAAAAAGTGCCTAGGAGACATTTTGTCCATAATGCTATTTCCAAATGAATCTATCTACAAAGTAGTGTTCCTCAAAAGTACACAAACTTCTTCAGGAGAGCCATTTAAAATCTTTTAACCTAAGTCAGCTGGGGAATTTGTATTATCATATATATTAAATCTTTTTTTTTTTTTTTGCTCACAGATTATGCCGTAATACCTTTACTGCATCATTGTTAAAGCATGTGAAGTTTTAAAGGAAAAATACGGGGTTTTTAATACTTAAATGGACACTAGTTGTTTGTGTTATCTCCATGTATAATCCAGCATTGCAAATAACTTTACTTCGACTGATTTGCAACCTCCCTCCAACCTTATTTTGGCCTATTCAGCAGCTGAGTGTTTATGTTTTTGAATGAAGGGCTGGAATTAGGTAAAGTATTTTTTTAGATAAACTGTTTTAACAAAAAGCATTTGTCCAAGAAAGTTAAAAGACTGCTCCCAAGCTGTTCAAAAGCAGAATGCAGCTACATACAGCAGGCGATGGCAATTCATTCTGCTCTTACCGGTCCATTTTTTTCAAATGAGAAGCCAGTATCCTAGATAAGGCTCAGTTTCAAAGGATGTTTTGGATATAAAGATTGTGGATGTAAGATTATTACTTACACAGCATTTATAAAAATGAAACTCTAAGTTTTATGATATGGCTTTTATGACTTAAAACTAGGTGGTATTAAAACACTTCCAGCTAATGGCTTGAATTAGGACTGAATAAAAGGTACCTGGTTTTATACTGAAATTATTATTTTAAGAAGGATTTCCTTGTTTCCAGGCACATATATACACATGTATATAATGTAAATTAAACCAAACTCCAGATAAAAGGTGTACCTCCATGAGCACATTAGGGTCTGATCCAAATTTTATCAAAGTTAGTGGGCGCCTTTCCCATTTGAAACCAGATTTTGCAAGATTTTTTCCATATTCACACGACCCTCCAGGGGATGCCTCAAGTTGATGCGGTTTTGCATGACTTGGCCTCAAATGTCTGCTGCAGTTTCTAAAAGCCCATTATAGGGCTGCAGTAGGAAATCATTTAGTCTAATTTAAGGAAATCACGGCATTTTTTATTTTCATATCATTTTGTTCTGATCCGTCTGTTTACTCTTTTCTGAAGGCAGGCTGAAATGTTTTTAGCCTAAAGACTGAACTAGTAAAAACGCTGCCTGGAATAGTCTCAGCAGACGTGTTTGTTCCACATCCCCTTCTTCGGTGCAGTATTTCCTTTGGTGGATTTCCTCTGCTCCTGGAAGCGAGCTGTCTAGCTTTCTGGAGCACAATTATGAAGAAGAATTTCCTACATTTTACTGCACAGGATGAGGTGATTTTGGAAGTTAACATGACCTGAACCACACATGCACAAAAGATAGCATCTGAAAAATGTAGTGTGCGGGCAGGAGTTAAAAAAACTACAGCCAGAAAATGCTCGTTAGCTCCACCGCTGGTCAGAGAGTGGAAGAGGGAGAAGAAAGGCAGTCCGCGCATTTTTCTGGACAGCCTGCTGTGTTACCACCATAAAGTCAAATGCAAGAGCAGAATTCAGCCTTAGCCTTGTTGTTCCTTAACAAAGTTGGGTTTGTTTGGTTTTCTTTAAGCCTAGACAGATATAATTTTAGTATTTACTGCTACAGAGAAACGAAGCTTGTGAGGAGAGATGAGATATTTTATTAAATCAACACACACAGTTGGAAAAAGCTAGCTATTTAAACACAGTATTTAAATTTTAAAGGAAGATGCAGTCATTTTTTTCATTCAGTTAGAAATGCAGTCAAAAGAGCTGTTTTCTTTGTTTAATTTCGTTACGCTATTTTTGATGACTGGTTCTGGGATTGTTTTGGTGTGGTAGCATTTTTAAGAATACTTGAACAGTGAGGTGAATATGACCAAAGTCTTGGTTTCTGTAATGGTTTCGAGAGAATTTCTTTTCTTTTATGAGATATTAAGACTTTTCTCTCCATGTGGATGCTCAAAAGACTATAGAAAAAAAGATGTAGGAGTTCAAAAGCTGGATGTTTACTACTGTTGCATGTGGTTACCCATATTCATAACAGTCTTTCAGCATCATCTGTCTGTGATCACGTTTTTATTTGAAAGACACTAGTTGTCATGTTTGCTCTGTGATTTACATTATTTAAACAAATGGGGAAAAAAAGAATTTGAAACAGCTCATTCAATAGCATGACTAAGACATATGACAACTTCTCATAAAACGTTCACCATTATACGGCCGTAAGGCTGGAGTTCAAACCCCGCGCGCACACAAAAACAAAGAATAACTCTTTCGGCCTGAAATAGCCTGGTGAAAGGATGCTGCCTCCTGGTGATTTATAGGCATACGAGCTTCCACTAAAAAATTACATCTTAAAGAGAAATATTTTGTCCTCAGAAGAGTCCGACGGTGGCCCCGGCCACGCTCGGCTCGCAGGGAAGCACGAGCAACGGGGAGGCCATCGAGGTGGGGACGGTGGACGCTTCTCACAGCACCTCTCTCTTCTTTTCCGCAGGATTTTCTGCAAGGGGACTGTACCAAAGCCAGACAAAAGCTGAACTGGAAGCCGAGAGTCACGTTTGATGTGAGTGGCCTTTCTGGCGTGCTTTGTACCCGACAGGGAGGGGAAGGGAGGGGGGAACCTCTGTGTGGGGTGACTCAGGCACATAGAGAAATCCCATTTTCGGTGACCCTGCCCGGGTTCTTGCTTTGAAGACAGCAGCCACCATGGCAGTGACAGGCACCCCCGGTGCACAGCACCGCACCGACACACGCACCGGGGCTGGGGCCAGGGCGGCAGCGGGAAGAGCCCAGCAAATCCCCGTCCCCTCCTTGTCCTGCTGCGGGGGGCCGGGGGGGCTCGTGCTCCAGGGCGCTCCCGACGTGCTGCCCGTTCGTCCCCTGCACTGGGGCCCTCATCTGCCTCTCTCCCTCCTTGCAGGAGCTGGTGAGGGAGATGGTGGATGCCGACGTGGAGCTCATGAAGAACAACCCCAACGCCTGAGCCCCGGCTGGGGCCGGCGGACGCCGCGGGACCCGTGCCAGGGGTGCACCCCATGGCCAGCACTGCCATGAGCTGCTGGGGCTGGGGTGGGCGGCCACCCCTCCCCGGGACGGTTTTATTGCTGGCCTGCCTGTGCGTTAAAGCCTGGGTTTATTCCCCCCTCCACCCTCCACACCCTCCCGGTGCCTCTCACCCCACACATCATCCCAGGGTCAGCCCTGCCTGGGCTAACTCTGGCTTCTGCCATTAACTGGAGCTGGGTCACCTCCCCCCCACCCCCCATACTGTACCTGAAGTACTGATTGGCCAGCAAGCCCACTGATTTTGGTTTTTTAATTAAAACTCATCTTTCTATTGCCTAGGACCTCCAGCGCGTTTTTAGTACTTTCTCCCATTTGAAAAACAAAAGCGTCCCCTGTCCCGCACCTCCCCTCTCCTCCAGCAAGAACAGCAGCAAACCTCTGGCACTAACGTGGGCTCGCCATCCCTCCGGCCCTTGCTCCACGGTTTCCCCTCTTCTGCCTTTCCTGAACACTCCTTGTTTTTCTTTCCTGCAGCCTTACCTCCACCCCAGCAGCCCGTTTCCACCACTTGAACTCTGTGAAAGTTTGGATAACTTGATATAACTTGCAGTGAAATCGCCTTTTGACCATGCCGAATTAATTCCTAATTGCTGGAATCGCTTTCAAACCGGTCAGAAGGGGCTTGTAAGCGTTTTTCAGATCTTCATTTCAGAGTGTGCGTGAGTCACAGCAAGCCTTTTCGTCCAGCACCTTCCCAATCTGGGGGTTTAGGGTGTTTTGGTTTTTGGTGTGCCCCCCAGAATCAACCCATTCCCCCTCCATCCTCTTCCTGCTTACTATAATTAGACCTCGGACGGGAGCTTGAACCATCTCAAAAGATGACTTAAGAAATAAAAACAAAATAAATAAAAAAAGCTTAAAAAAAAATAGAAACTTCAAGGTGAGTAAATATTTTTGCACTTTTCGTGCCAAGGTACCCGGGTTATCCAGAGGTCGTCGAGCCCATACATTTCCCGTTGGTTTAGGATCTTCCACCCACCAATTACTCCCATCGTTTTAGCTTTATGCCTCGAAATGAGC